AGATAAATTGAAAATGAAACTTATCATCTTTGCTTAACTGATGAAAAGACATAATGAATTTAAAAAATATAGAATGTGTAGGATGAATGGCCAATTTCAATTAAATAAATTTGGATTGTTGAAATAAATATTTCCAATGGCAGTTTTATACTGATTCATAACACTTATCAAAATAAAAAAACTTAACGTACCATGTGCTGGCCTTCATGCTAAGGACTTGGTCAAAAATTTGATCCAAACTGAGCAATTAAGTAAATGTAGATTTAAAATACTGATAGTTTTACTAATTCTTGTATTTTTCTCATTTGATGTAGTTTGAATTCAGTTAAAATGTTGGTTTTATACTTTCATTAAATCCAACATTTGTGTTTATGTTTTTGTAAATCTCATTTCAAGGGCAAAATTGTTTCAATATATAAGATGGTAGAAAAAAGGATCAAAGCATAATGGGATGCAATGACAACCAAAATTTTCTATGAGGTATGTGTAGAAGAGATCATAGCTGGTAATTATCCCAATAATACTTTTAATAAAATAGTGTGACGAAATGTGGAAGAAAAATTTAATGAAAGAACAAAATAGGAATATATTTATAAATAACTAAGAAATAGGTAGGATGTATTAAAAAGTGATTTGGTTTTGTGGAATCAACTTTTAAGGCAAGAAACATGATTATGGTGGAATTATGAAAATGGTACAATTGATGCTACTCCTCAATGATAGGTTGCATTAAAAGCGGTTAATACTATTCCTTTATTGTTAATGATTTTGAATTTTTAAATGTTACTATATTAATTTTAACTTTAAACTCCTAATTTGTTATATCTATTATATAAGAACAAGGAATATACTAAGTTTGAGCATAATGATTCAGAAAACATGACAAAGTTGGAGATAATGTCTACTAAAATAGTGGTCATTGGTGAAACTACATGGACTTTAGCTGGTTGTCCTATTCTTCCATAACAACAAGATGTAAGTGTTGAGGATGTTATTGATTTAGACGAAAAAAGTGATGATTCTGATGAGGTGAACATCATAGCTACACAAACTAAGAGAAACAATGAAAAAAAGAAGAAAAACACAATAAGTTGTTCAATTACAGGTAAAGAAAAGAAAGTGAAGTCAGGGGGTGCAACATACATAAAGAGACAATTGGATCACCTTTGTGATGCATTTGAAAGTTATACCTTTGTCAATTCAAGTGAATCATCAAAGAACTATAAAGCACCTGCTAGTAGCATTGAATAATGTATGGATGTATTATTAACTTTACCTAAAGTTGAAGATGGTAGTGAGCAATTTATATTAGGTACTCATTTATTTATGAAATGAGAATATATAGAGATGTTTAAGAGCATGAAATCAGTCAGTTCTAAACTTTCTTTGCTAAAGTAAAAGTTGGAAAGGGAAAAGTTCAAGTTAGAGTTAGAGAGGATGAAACTCAGCACTAAAAAACATTAATACAATATTAGATGTTGAGTTTTTAATATTAAAACATTTGTAATACTTGCATTTGAGATATAGAACTATTTTTTTTTCCTTTTTTTTAGTGTGTGGACCAATGTTATGAATTTATGCTAATTCATAATATTTTTTTAGAAATTTTATGGTGATTTTGAAGCTAAATTAGGTTTTCATATTAAACCAAGTTATTTTTAGGTTAGCACTCATCTCAAAAAACCCAATTTTTATTTTTTTAGTTCGTAAAAGTTAATAAAAAGTTAAAATAATACGATTCATAAAATTAAAAAAATAATGTTGGCCATATCATTTAATAGAAAAGGGATAATTTGCCACAATTTCAGAGTTCAAAGCGCAGATTTTTCATAAAAATAAGTTTAGAGTTAAATCATCCACCATCAAAGATGGTTAGGGGTTCATAAAATTAAAAAATTACTGTTGGCCATATCATCTAATAGAGAAGGGGTAATTTGCCACAATTTCAAAGTTCAAAGTGTAGATTTTCTATAAAAATAAGTTTAGAGTTAAATCATCCACCATCAAAAATACTTAGGGGTTGATAATCCCTTTTTACCTTTAAATATCAAAAGTATGAGGGATGTGGTTGGTGCAAACATCAGAATTCAAGGGATATAAGGCAGGTCTTATCTCAATGCACAGGTCTTACATCAATACACATCTTCTATCTCAACTTATAAAAATGGGTGAAAGTATTCATTTCAAGACAAGTCTTATGTTAATTAATAAAAAAAATATGAAACTATACATCTCAAAGATGATCTCTTATCTTGTATGAAAAAGATGAAAATCAAGCCCCCCTTTAAAGATGGCCTCTCATCTTATATGAAAGTGATGAAAGTCAAGAATTCCAAAAAAGTTCTCTTTCATGTATGAAAAGTAATGAAAATGAGATATAAAAAATCAACAAATTCATTGCCTTCAAAAGAGATTGGTCAATCAAAAGGAAATAAATAAATAAAAATACCAACATCTTTCATTCAAACTACAACTTTGAACACCTATTAACCAACTACCTACATAAATCACAACACCCTCATTCATTTCTTATTTATTTGTTCCATTTTTGTTAACAACAATTATTATCCTTCACTTAAGTTATAATTTACTTTACCTTGTTTCCTTCTACTAAGACTCTAAGAGTTCAATTTACATCTTTCCAAATTCATTTATTCATCAAGTTAAGAGAAAGATAAAAGGGTATTTTATTTTATTTTTTTATAAATTAAATTTTTTTGTAAAAATAATTAGATTTATTTTTTGTACTCATCTTGTAACACTTCACATACCTTAGTGAATAATTTAAAATTTTGAGTCCTTTATTTTATAGTTCTAGGGATTAAATTGAGTGAATTTAAAGTTTAGAGGTTTTAAGTAGAACTTAGGAGGAATTGAAGGGCCTTAACTCAATTATTCCAATTTTTCTTACCACATGGCATTATTCCAACCAAGCATTTTTCTTTTTCAGCTGGACTTAGATAAGCCTTCAGAAGGCTCCCAAAAGCCAACCATTTTTCTGCGCTTTCCTCTTCCAGCCATCCCTTGCATCTTTCTTTCTTCTTCCTCTAGTCAAGATTGAGCTGCAAGGAGCACTCTCCACCTAGAATTCTTTTCAATTTCTACTGTCCTCTTTAATAAGGCACTTGATTTTCAAGTAAGTATAAGTTTAGCTATAGATTTGGGTTAGAATTTGGAGGGAAAATTATGGAATTTGTTATAACATACACAAAAATTAGTTTAAGTGGTAGGATATAACTATAAATCTTTTATTTAAGAAATTTTTTAGTATTAGAATTTTTGTATGGTAACATTTGGAATTTTGGGCACTGGTGGAGTGTAGAGATGGAAGTGGATTTTGGTTGATGTTGGAATTCTTGTGAATTTTTATTAGCTAATTACTTGCTAGAACCGTTCACATGTTACTGTTAACACATTACTGTTCATGCACTAATTATTGTTCACGCACTATATTTTAATTTCTCTCAATAGGAAGTTTTATGAAATATGTAAGTTGTGTATGTGGATATTAGTATGAACTTGAATTGTCCATGCCACTGATTAATAAGAACATTAAATGGAATAATATTTTAATATTATTTTGCATATGTTCTAAACTTGTTCGACATATATATGTGTTTATTATAACACACCTCCCTAAGCACTTTTAGTTTTAGAAAGGTTCGAAAATAAGATTTATAATAAAGAATTGCAACGAAAATAAAAATACTTTTGAAAAAAGATCATAAATACCTGTAAAGGAAAACCACTTTAACGAGTCAATATATATATATTGAAAAAATACCAAAATATTCAAAGTTATAAAATAAGCCGAGCTAAACTCATTTATAATTAATTTAAAGATTTTATACATAAAGGTAATTTACACAAAAATTATATGAGGCAAATTCTTCTCCAAAGCTTTTCAAAAAAACAAAAGCTGAGTCATTGTTTTTGTAATACATCAATCTGCCTCCCTATCGAAAACCCGAGGCCCTAGCTTGTACATACAACGAGCATGCGAGTCCCGTGTGAAAAGCTCCTAAACCGAGAGGCTGCTACCTCGATCTATTGATCTGAAATGGAGGGGAATTTTATGAGCTAACAGCCCAGTAAATAATAAGTTTAAGCTATAAACTTGGGTCATAAGACATTTAGACATATCCACACAAAGAGCATAAGACACAACGGAATCAAATGACATAATATTATAATTCCTACTATTTAAATAATAACTTAATATCTCAAATCATAAGCACAAATGTCAAGAAATAATCAATGACATTTAAATTAAATTCATATACTAAAATCATATGCTCACAAATACGGTATCACAAGCGTAATGCATAAAATTGAAAATCACACAATGCTATGGAGTCCACTGAGATGTGCTAGCAACACTGTACCAGAACTAATCACAGTAATAACCCTACTGCGCAGAGATCCACTAAATACCCCAAAGGGTCCACTGAATACTCCAAGCTTTAAGTTTAGGTCCACTTACTCCATAACTACAAACACATACGCATGTCAAACAAATTCATAATATGTCCAAAATAATATTAGGACTTCCTATTGAAAGAAATCAAAGCATAATGTGTGAACAGTAATCGTGAACAGTAATCGTGAACAGTGATTTATAAACAGTACAATTTAATTATAATTTCAACAAGCAAAAATTCACACCCAAATCAAACAATAAAAAAGAATAACTCACTATCTTTCTCATATAAGCCCCAAAATTAAAGATATTTCTAATGAAATTTTAATACTCAAAAATCTTATAAACCAAAGGATTAGAGTCAAATCTCACCAATTTAAACTATCCAAAACTCTAACCTAAAATTCATAAATAAAACTTTTACTTATCTAACAAAAAGCACCTTAACCTTGGTTGGAGAAAGAAGGAAGAAAAGGATGTAAGTGGGATGGCTGTAAAACGTAGGAAAACAAAATGGGGACTTTTGGGAGCCTTCTGGAGGCTTATCCAAGTTTCCACCGACAAAGAAAAAAAACTTGGTTGGGACAATGCCATGTGGTAAGCAAAATTGGGAGAATTGAGTTATGGTCATTCAACTTCTACTAAGTTTTACTTAAAACCCCCAAACTTTAAATTCAATCAATTTAATCCCTAAAACTATAAACTAAAGGACATTAATTTTTAAATTATTCACTAAGGTATGTGGGGTGTTACATTTATGGCTATGGAGTAAGTGGATCTCAGTTCAAAGGTTGGGGTATTCAATGGAACCTTCGAGGTATTTAGTAGACCTCTGCGTAGTAGGATTAGTACTGTAATTAGCTTTGGTACAATGTTGCTAGCACACATCAATGGACTCCATAGTATTATATGATTTTCGTTTTATGCATTGTGCTTGTGACATCGTGTTTGTGAGTATATTATTTTATTATATGAATTTAATTTAAATGTCATTGATATTCCTTGACATGTGTGATTGTGATTTGAAATATTAAGTTATTATTTAAATACTAAGAATCATAATATTATGTGGTTTGATTCCGTTGTATCTCATGCTCTTTGTATGTATAGGTCTAAGGGTGTAACACTCCACATACCTTAGTGAATAATTTAAAAATTAGAGTCCTTTAATTTATAATTTTATGAATTAAATTGATTAAATTTAAAGTTTGTGGGTTTTAAATAGAACTTAGTAAGAGTTGAATGACCTTAACTCAATTATTCCAATTTTTATTACCACATGGCATTATACCAACCAAGTTTTTTTTCCTTGTCGGTTGGACTTGGATAAGCCTTCAGAAGGCTCCCAAAAGCCCCATTTTTTTTTCCTATGCCATCCTCTTCCACCTGCATCTTTCTTTCTTCTATCTTCAGCTAAGGTTAAGGTGCTTTTTTAGGTAAATATAAGTTTTTGTTATGAATTTGAGGTTAGAGTTTTAAGTAGTTTAAATTGGTGAAATTTGACCAAAATCCTTTGGTTTATAAGATTTTTGGACATTAAAATTTTATTAGCAATATCTTTAATTTTTGGGGCTTGTACGAGGTGGATAATAAGTCATTTTCCTTTTTCTATACTTGATTTGGTGTGGATTTTATTGATTAGTACTACTATTATTACTTGTATGCCTTGTGTGTTATAATTTATATAATCAATTGGTCCTTGAAACTGTGCATGAGCTTGGAATCAGATTGCTACTTTTAATTACTATTCACGTAAATACTGGTCACGTGTTGCTGTTCCTGTATTACTATTTACGGGTTATTGTTCATGGATTACTTTCATGAATTACTGTTCACACACTAATTACTATTCATGCAGTGTACTTTAATTTCTTTCTATATGAAGTTCTATGGAATATGTAAGTTGTGTATATGGATATTAGTATAAACTTGAATTGTTCATGCGAATGGGAATATTAAATAGGATAATATTCTAATATTATTTTGGATATGTTATAAACTTGTTTAACATGTGTATGTGCTGGTGGTTATGGAGTAAGTGGACGTAAGTTTAAAGCTTGGGGTATCCAATGAACCCTTCGGGGTAATCAGTGGACATCTGCGCAGTAGGATTAGTACTGTGATTAGCTCCGATACAGTGTTACTAGCACACATCAGTGGACTCCATAGCATTGTGTAATTTTCGATTTTTTGCATTACACTTGTGACATCGTATTTGTGAGCATATGATTTTAGTATATGAATTTAATTTAAATGTCATTGATTATTCCTTGACATGTGTGATTATGATTTGAGATAATAAGTTATTATTTAAATAGTGAGAATTATAATATTATGTGGATTGATTACGTTGTATCTCATGCTCTTTGTGTGTATAGGTCTAGGGGTCGTAAGATCCAAATTTATAGTTTAAACTTATTACTTACTGGGCTTTTAGCTCATAAAATCCTCCCCCCCCCATTTCAGATCAGTAGATCAAGATAACAGCCTCCCAGTTTGACAGCTTTTGGCATGGGACTCATATGTTCATTGTATGTATAAGGTAGGGCCTCGTGTTTTTTATAAAAAGGTAGATCGATATGTTACCAAAACAATGACTCAGTTTTTGTTCTTTTGAAAAGCTTTGGAGAAGAATTTACCTCATATAATTTTTGTGTAAATTACCTTTATGTATAAAATCTTTAAATTAATTATAAATGAGTTTAGCTCAGCTTATTTAATAACTTTGAATATTTTGGCATTTTTCCTAATATATATCAATATTTTTTTGTTAAAGTGGTTTTTCTTTATAAGTATCTATAATCTTCTCTTTTCAAAATGTAAATTGATTTTCTGAATACAAGCTTTCTTTTGAAAAAACATTTTATATTAGAAGTGTTTTTACTTTCGCTGCAATTCTTTACTATAAATCTTATTTCCAAACTCTTTTAGGACTAAAAGTGCCTAGGGAGGTGTTATAAGGGGTCTTAAGATCCAAGTTTATAGCTTAAATTTAATACTTATTGGCCTTTTAGCTCATAAAATTCCCCATTTCAGATCCGTAGATTGGAGTAGCAACCACCAATTGGGGAGTTTCGGTAGAGGTCCCGTATACTCGTTGTATGTAGAAGATAAAACCTCGTGCTTTTAATATGGAGGCGGAGCAATGTATTACCAAAACAACAATTTGGCTTCTGATATTTTGAAAAGCTTTTCAGAAGAATTTACCTTCATATGATTTTGTGTAAATTAATTTTATGTATATAATATTTAAATTAATTAAATGAGCTTAGCCCAACTTATTTTATAACCTTGAGTATTTTGACATTTCCTTAAGACATTTCTTTAAGACATTTCTAGTTAAAGTAATTTTCCTTTACAAGTATTTGATTTTCTCTCTGTAAAATTTTAAATTGATTTAAAAGCAAGTTTTTTTTTAAGGAAATATTTTAGAATAGAAGTATTTCTACTTCCGCTGTAATCTTTTACTATAATTCTATTTTCTGGACTCCTCTGGAATGAAGGGTACCTAGGGGAGGTGTGTCACATCTTTTCCCCTAACATTTTCTTTTTCTTGGTAAATGGATTTAGATTTAAGATAGAATTTTGAAAATAGTAATGAGTGTGAGGTGGAGGAAGAAAATAGTAATAAGAATGAGATGGAGAAGGAAGCAATAAAAAAAAAAAAAGAGGGAGGTAGAAGTTAGATGAAAAAAAATAATGTTTTTTATTCTCTTATTTCATTTGATACTTCAATATTTTTAAAATATATGTCGAAATATCTTAACAAAAAAAAAAAAAAAACAAGAGTTTCAAAACTTCCAAGTTGCCAATGGGTGCAAAAGACATTGACAACTCTAAGTGAGAGTTATTAAATATTTAGAATGGAATCATATGTTTTTAAGGAATTATGTTCTTTATTAGTTGATAATTATGGCCTAACATCAACAAGAGAAATGTGTACAAAAGAATCACTTGCAATGTTTCTTTGGACATATGCACATAACCAATCTAATCAAAATGTGCAAAATCATTTTAGACATTTAGGAGAAATAGTAAGTAGAAAATTTGGTGAGATTTTTGATGCAATGGTGAGGTTTTTAAATGACATTGTAAAACCACCTGATTATAGTTTTATTGAAACTCTCAATAAGATTAAACAAAATAGTAGGTTTTGGTCTCATTTTAAAATATGTATTAGTGCAATTAATGATATGCATATTAAAGCCATGATCCCAGTGGAAGACCAAGCCCCATTTAAAAGTCACAAAGGCATCGCCACTCAAAATGTAATGATAGTTTGCAATTTTGACATAATATTAAAGGGTGACTTAGATTTACTCATAATGCATGTGTTTTCACCCACACATTGGAAAGGCATAACGATGTGTTCTCTCATTCTCCCAATGATAATAATTTTCTATTTATTTTGTATTATAGATTTTTAGCACTATTTTTAATGAATTTTTAAGCACATTTTTATTATTTGTTATTCATGACTTTTTTCTTATATTTTAGGCAAATATTATCTTATTGATGTTGGTTATCCTAATATAAAATGATATTTTGTATCTTATAAAGGAAAAACATATCACATTCTTGATTTTAGATGTGAAAGCCAATCAAAAAGATTCAACCATGCCAATACTTGTCTTAGAAATGTCATTGAACAATTTATTGGGTGCTGAAAAAATAGGTTTGAAATATTGTCCAACATGCAAAATTATTCATTCACAACACAAATGAAAATAGTAGTTGCAACTATTTCACTTCATAATTATATTAGATAACATGTAATTAAGAATAAAGAATTTGATAGATGTGATCATAACCCTAATTATATGCTTAAAGTGCTTAAGGAAGAGAGCATAAATCAAGGAATTTCTCAAAATAATTTTGTTTGTACAATGGAGGATCATGGCATGACTTCACTACAAGATTCCATAACTCTATCATTAACGAAAAGTCAATCAAGATTATTTGGCATAAGTTTTAATTTTATTGTCTTATCTATGTGATTTAAATGTAGTATGTTTTACTTTTTAATATTAAAATATAAGCATTTATATTTGAAAATATGAAGAATTAATTTTTAATCATTAACCTTAAAATAATTATAAAATTAAAGTTTTATAAAAATATAGAATAAAAAAATAGAGTGAGAGTAGTGCTTTAGTAAGTAAAAAATGTCAGTTTTAATCATTTTAGCATTATTTTGGATTAATAGATATTTTATAAAAAAATTTACCAAATAACTTTTTACTCTATAAATACTTTTATAAAAAAAAAAATTTACCAAATATCTTTAATTTATCAAAAACATAACTTTTACAACAAATTTTTCCAATAGGATTTTTGTTAAAAGTTCTAACCACGTCAAACAAGCTCTTAGTTTTACAAATTCTTACTAAAGAGTATTAAAAATTTTCTTAACCTTATTAAAAATATATAAACCAATTAGTTAATATTACATTTTTTAATGTATTTTATTTTATTCTGTATTTGTAATAATAAATTTTTTTTTTCTTTTAATAGATAAATATTTTCCAACAACCTTTAAAAGTTTGATAGTGCTCATCGCATATTTAAGTAAGATTGACTTTTAAATTTTTTTGAGGATGAACAAGAATGTCATGTGGGATGAGGCAATCTTTTTTTTTTTCTTTTTCCTTTTTCTTTTTTTTTGAAATAGAACAACTTTTTACAAGTATTCTTACCGTGCTATGGGAATGGGGAAGGGATCCCTAGGAATTGAACATCAATGGGAGCAAAAAAATCTTGTAATTAGGTTTGAGGAAAATTGTTTATAAATCACGCAAAAGGTGTAAAACTTTAAGGCAAAACCCTATATTAAGTTTCTAAACTTATTTTAGATATTTGATTAAATTTTTAAATTTTTATTAAAGTAAATAAACTCCTAGATTAAATAATATAGACAATTTATTTCTTTTTATTTATTATAGATATAATACTTGTTTGTGTTTTATTTGTGTGAATAAGATATTGATATGTCATTCCTTACTTGGTGGATATTAACCTTGTTCATGCAAGCAAATCATAAACGAAAGTTAAGCCTACCATAAAAAAAGAGGTTAAATTGTCTAAATCACTAAATTTATTAGCTTACCTTTTTCAATAAATATTTAGGAGTTTAATTGAGACTATGTGATAAGTTTTAGGGTTTTGACATAAATTTTGCCAAACTTCAACACAAAGTTTAGGTTTGTTTGGTTAGAGTGAGAAGGTATTATCTACAAAGTTTATAAATATCGTATAAAAAGTTAAATAAGTAATATATAAAAAGTTGATAAATATTATAATTTTTGTTAAAATTTTGTTAAATTATTAATTTTTTTATATTTGATAATAAATTAATATATAAAAAATTAGTATAAAAATTGTCAAGTGATGTTATATAGAGAAAGTTAGGAAAATTTTTTTAAAAAAATGTAAAATGAAAATTTTAAAGATTAAAAATTATATTAAAAATAAATACTGAAAATACTACTTTAATTTAATATTAATATGTAAAAATAAATAAATAATCTTATAAAAAATTTTAAAAAAGTTTGGGAGAAACTTTCCCCCACCAACAACCCTGAAAGCAGTGTTAGAAGGCGACCCCATAGCAGTGCAGAACTTGTTAAAGAGGTACTTTGTTTCTTGCCGTCGGGAAGAACTT